TGCTCATTACGCCGCCATGCTGTCTCTGCCCCGAGCTTCCTTGGTGCGGCACTACCCCAACTGGGGCCTTCCAGATGCAGCGCCTAACAAGGTGTTGAAGATGGTGTCCACCATAGCCAGGTAGGTACCTCGCCACTCTACTCCTTGGTCCTCTTCTCCCTCCTCCTCCTACCGGTAGAGCTCCACCATAGCCAAGGTGGAAGCTACGGGCTTCTTCCTCCCAGCAGCGCTGTAGTACCCAGCGCTGCTCCAGCCAGCGCTCCAACAGCATGTCGCCAAACTTGCACACTGAAGAATGAGGCGGCCATGCCTGTCTCTGCCCCGAGCTTCCTTGGTGCGGCACTACCCCAACTGGGGCCTTCCAGATGCAGCGCCTAACAAGGTGATGAAGATGGTGTCCACCATAGCCAGGTAGGTACCTCACCACTCTCCTCCTTGGTCCTTTTCTCCCTCCTCCTCCTACCGGTAGAGCTCCACCATAGCCAAGGTGGAAGCTACCGGCTTCTTCCTCTCAGCAGCGCTGTAGTACCCAGCGCTGCTCCAGCGAGCCCTCCAACAGCGTGTCGCCAAACTTGCACACTGAAGAATGAGGCCGGGCTCTTCCCTCGGCCTCTTGATAAAGCGGCCTACTTGCCTCCTGGGCGGTGACTTCCAGGCCGCTCGGCCTCCCAAGCAACCGGTGCCTCCTCCCTTTCGGAGGGAAACATCATTGCCCGCACAGGCTCTAGACTCAGACTGGATGGACTGGTACCGGCCTAGACCTAGGCTACCGCTACTGGGCCTCTAAAAATGCCAACTTTGTCTTCTTCTGCTCGGCCTCGAGTACCCGGCACATCCCCTGCTACTGGGTGCGGTACCGGCCTACCTGCTACTTGAGTGTTTTTCCGCTGCTCTAAGTGTCACGGGCCTCTGGCTCCACCACTTGAGTGTTTTCCCCTGCTGCGACCCTCAATGCCACAGCCACAGGTAAGTATCGGCCCTACGGGCCTGCCAAACAAGCAAGTGCCCTTGCGAGTCACACACACACTCATACCGACAAGCACGAAGACAGGCACGCAGGTGAATAAGCACGCACACATACAGACTTAGAAAACTCAGTAGAATGCGGCGACAAGCACTAAGACAGGCACACAGGTGAATAAGCATGCACACATACAGACTTAGAAAACTCAGCAGAATGCGGGAATCTCAGCAAGGCATCCATTCCATCGGCAGAACTTCAGAAATCAGCAGTGTTCTCAGTTTCTGTTATGGCGGGTCATTACACTACCCCCCCTCAAGAGCGAGGCCCCTTCGAGCGAGTACCTCAATCAGAGTCCCTGCATAATGCATCATAAGCGTAAATGACAAAGAGAGATTGGGTATGTGCCGTAGGAGTGAGGGTAACAATAAATTTAGGTTGCTGTTCAGAGGTAATCAGTCGTTCATATGCGTTGACGACTCACGGGGCACTCTGCAGCAAATCTTTCTTAGCAATCCAATAAAAGCCATTCAATGGATGATATAGAAAATGGACTTTGTATTGTTTCTCCCTTTTCCATTGTGCTCGACAATTCTATCAATCTCGTGACCGCAATTGATTGCGCGAGGAATCATCGATTCTTGATACGGAAAAGTTTCAGGCGGTTCATACGGAAACAACTTCGACGAGTGAAAGGCTGGGTATTCCCGCTCTTCTTTCCCATGTTCGTGAAGTCGATGGAAAGAGACTCGCCCGGACCATCAGGAATAGGAAAAGGATGCAACAACCCATATGGCTTTTGCCGAGACGGTTTGATGCGTTGACAAACTTCACACTCAACCACAAACCTTCGTGCCATTTCTTTCATCCCAGGCCATACAAACTTTTGTAATAGACTTCCGTATGTCTCTTCAAAACCGAAGTGTCCACTCCGGCCATGAGCCAAGTCCAAGAAGTGACTATGGATAGGCTCTTGGTTGGGTACACACAGTCGGTCTTACTTCACGTAACGTCGAAAAAGTAAACCTTTACACTCGTGGAAATCTGGCTGGCTGCTAGGGTCAGCCTGGATCTGCTCAAGGATGAGACCGAGTTCTGAGTCCTTGGCAGTATGCTCGATGAGTCCCTCCTTCAAATTCTTACGGAGATCGTAGTAACCCACAAGGCAAGTCATGTACTCAGGATGGCGAGACAAAGCATCCGCAACGCGATTGTAACAACCCTTTTTGTGCTTAAGTTCAAAATCATACACAGTAATCTCATGCAACCAGTGGGTCAATGTAATTGATGGATTATTCTGTGTCAGGATCCATTTCAAAGTCTCATGGTCTGAGAACACTTTGAAGTGGTGACCCAAGAGGTAGTGTTTCCAATGATCTAGTGCCTCTCTCAAGGCATAGAGTTCTCACATATAGGTGGAGGCAGCTACCTTGTGACTGGGCATGCGTTTGCTGTAATACTCAAGCGGACGTAAGCCGTCACCATCATCTTGCTGCAACACTGCACCAATCCCATACAAGCTTGCATCCGTAGTTACTACGAATGTAAGTTTGGGATCTGCAATGCGGAGCACCGGATGACTCACCAAAGCCTCCTTCAATGCTTGGAAGGTTGTTCTGCATTCCCCATCCCACGTGTAAGACACGTTCTTGCTTGTCAATTTGGACAGCGGACGGGCGATGATAGAAAATTTGGGCACAAACTTACGGTAGTACGACGCAAGACCAAGAAAAGAACGCAATTCTCGGACATTTGTCGGTTGCGGTCATTTGCGGATGACCTCCACTTTGGTTGCCTCGGGCTCTAGGCCTGCAGCGGACAACCGGTGTCCAAGGTAGATGACGCTATCCCTCCCAAACTCAGACTTCTCTAAGTTGAGATGGAGTTGCGCATCCTTGAGATTCTGCAATACTTCCGCAAGGTGTCTCATGTGCTCCTCCATCGACTTGCTGAAGATTAGTATGTCATCCAAATAAACAACAACAAATCGATTGATCTGATTGCAGAACACCTTGTCCATGAGACTTTGGAAGGTGGTCGGTGCATTCGTGAGGTCGAAAAGGGCATAACGATAAATTCATACAAACCATCATGAGTTTTAAATGCAGTTTTATGCTGGTACTTCAATTTGGTGGTAACCAGACTTGAGATCGATCTTGTTGAAGACCTTGCATCCACCCGCAGTGTCAAGCAGATCGTCAATGCGTGGCAAAGGGTATGCATTCTTTCTAGTTCTTTTGTTCAGTCCGCGGTAATCAATACACATCCGTAGTTTGCCTCCCTTCTTAGGAACAAACAAAATTGGCGCACCGAATTCGGATTCGCTTGGCTTGATCCATCCTTTTTCAAGCATGTCATCGATCTGCCTACGCAACTCCTCCAATTCGCCTTAGCCCATTCGATAGACACAGCCTTTCGGAGTGTTGCTTTCTATCAACTCGATCTTGTGTCGGACCAGACGCACGGGAACTCCATGCGGTTCGGCCAAAACTTCAGGGAATTGGTCGAGAAGGCTGCGGATCTCCGAAGGAATTTCCGGAGGTGGATCATCACATTCTGGTGCAAGCATCCCGGATTGTATAGGTGTAGCCAAAACAAGAGGATTTGAAGCAGAGTCGTTTGGAAGTAGAAGTAGAGTTGCATGAGAAGTAGTTGCATCAAAAGTAAAAACTGCATGCAAAGTAGAATCATTATGTACAGCAAAAATAAAAGGCACATGAGCAGGCCTAACGAAGGCTATATACATTTGCTCATCAACTTTGCGCCTGTGCCACTTTTTGCAAAATTTCATTGCATTGAGAAAAGTCACTTAGGACTCGTGCAGCTCATCCAAGAGGACAGGACACTCGATTGCCATGGCATCGTTGACCATGAACTGTGAGTCCTTCCACGTGGTTCTTTCACATTGGGCCTGCAACCAGCCCAAGCCAATAACCGCGTCGAAGGGGCACTTACCAAGGACATAGAAGTTCAACTCATGCGTGATAGTGCGGTCTACGTCAAACGTAGTGCGCACACCTTTGACTGCATGCGTAGATGTGACAATGTGCGTAGCACGACGAATGTGTTCGCGCTCCTTCACGTTCGCGCAAATGTGTTCGTCCATTCGCGCGAACATCTCGCGAACATGTTCAGGCAAACATAATTTTTTTCGTAAAAAAAAAAACAAAATTAATTATTGTTCTGGTTTTTGATTTTTAACTCATGATTGGCTACGAATTAGAACATGACTCCAAGGCAAAAGTTGCTTGTATTGTTATTTTACAAACATATATTTTTTTCAGATTTTTCTGGGAACCTTTTTTTTTTCAAATATTTTTTATGTTCGCGTTCGGAGGGTTTTTAGTGCTTGTTCGCGTTCGCCTCCGAACGAGAACACGGTGCTACATAGGTGACAACCTCTTGGTTGCCCACTTGGGTCCGACAAGGATTCTGCAAAGTCACTTGCTTCATTCCCAAGCGTGCCTTACGAATGTCGCGTGGTGAGAAGTAGTTGGCGGTTGCGCCACAATCAGCCAACACCCAAATGTAACGACCGTTAATGCGGAGTTTGAAGAAGATCAACGTCGTTTTCCCTTGTGCGCGTTCTTGCTTCATGTGAGCCCAGCGCGACAAGAGAGCATGAAAGTCAATTTTTTCCGAATCCACCCAAGGCTCCTTGTAGAGGATGTGCAGTTTCTCAGCCTTGGAATCAACATCAGATGGGGTATCAAGAGAGGTTTGTTGAGTATGATCAGAATCCGGCGAAGGATCTGCACTTACATGTTCAGCCTCTCCGTCTGTAGAGTGTGCTGATGATATCTCTATCCCCTTTGCTGGTTTCTCTGCGGCAATCTAAAGCAATGTTGGATTGAGTGTCCTGGTTTGGTGCAGTGCAGGCGAACCCCCTTCTTCACCCTGTGTTTCCACTCACTTTCACTGATCTAGAGATCTACCCATGGTTTTGTGGCAGGATCTTCCGGTTTGGGTGGAATCTTCGCTCCCTTGGGAAGGAGAATGGTGTTAGTATTGTTCTTCGCTGTGTTCCTCGGTCCCTTACTTTTGGAGGCAGTCTTTTTGACGACATTCATTGATTCATCCTCATCCACATAATCAGACTTATGGGCTGGCGAAGAGCAAGATGCCTCGCAGTCTTGCTCTTGATCGTCACAAAGAGAAGGGTCCTCTGCGAAGGTCTCCTCGTCAACCTCAAGCAGATCGTGCATTGCAAAACGGTTGCTGCCAGGAAACCGTCTGCGGCTGGTGGTCTTTTCACCACCCAATCCACCCGGGAGTTGTTGTGCCTCCAACTTGACTAATCCCGCATGAGGGAAAGGCAATCTGTATACGTTATGAGTCTGAGCCCCAAGCGATGTGTTGCAGTAAAGGGAACCGTGCCTTTAATCACATCCAAGCAGGATTGCGCAGTCATCTCCAGATCAGGAGTAGCAAAGAGTTTACTAACGTACTGTCGCCTTTCTATCCATTTAAGGAAAGTTGCAACAGTTTCAGAATGCCCTGCACTGCCACTTGCTACTGCAACAACGGCGGCAGCAACAGTGGCGGCGGCCCGAATACCCTTACAAGGGTATTTGGGCGCATTCTTGCGTCTCGCAGAAGATGCATTTTTGATAATATGTGAGAAAGTGTCTCATCTTTGCCCGGTCATAACCAACTTTAAGGCGTTGGGAATGGCAGGCGCATTTGATCTGATTACAGAGTGTGTAGGCGTGGACTTTGAGGGCACACATGAGTTTAGGCAAGCGTTTGATCGGCACTCGCGCCCAGTAACGTGAACTAGAAAAGGGTCACGAGGCACCTACAATAGCACACGCAGAGAGCGTTCACATTTTAGACTGGCATTTGATGGTCAGGGTTAGGATTTAGTCATCAGAGATGTTGACTTACCTGAGACAGGAGTAGGGTCCTCGTTGTGTGGAATACGTGAGCCCTTAGGTTCACCATGTTTCAGTCCACGGTAGAAGCCACGAGCAGCATTAGGAAGCGTCGGCGTAAGTAAGAAGTAGTGGAGCTCGGGTTCTCCCGACACCTAGGTAGTAAAAGTACGGCCTTCGGAAAGGTAGCCTGCTAAGAAAGGTCAGAATTTTTAAGCCACGGTGCGGTTGAGCCGCATGCATGACGGCGGCAGGTGGAACTGGCCCCTTCATGCAGGCGAGGACGGGTATGTAGGAGCCATAGACATGACCGATGGGCCAAAGAACGACTTTTAATGTTGTTCAACAGGCCTTGGGGCAACACGAATACATTTTATGAGGAAGTTTGCGCCTGCTACACCCAAGCTTGGGCCTATGAAGATCTGGGGATCGAGGCCAGCAACTGGAAACGAAGGAGCGGAGGAACGTCTTATGAAGAAAACTGAGGGGTTGAGGGTCTCGCGGGACTATCCCCCTTAGTTTTGCTGGCGAGTCCGACTGCGGGCCCAACTGGCAGGACCGAGGGAGTACTGGTGGGTCCCTCCTTCCCTCCTCATCGACTTCTTTTTCTCTATTTTTTATTTTTATTATTAGTTTATTATTATTACTTATTTTTGACCCAACACCGGTACCTGTACCGAGAGTGGCGAAAGTACCCAAGAGCTTAGCTTAGTGGGTACACCCATGAACTGTTGAAATACAGACTCGTGTTCGAATCTAGGTGGTGGAAATTAATGAGTAAAACCAAATATTTCTAAATTGTCTGAGGCCGGACAACTATCGAAGGTGATCTCCTAAGGCCGGTGCAGGAGTGAATACTGAAGCTATTTAGTACAGCAGACCCGATGGTGTCGGGTCGCTGTGTGCGTTTCTTTGATGAGACTGAGGGCGGAATTGCTCTGGTGCGCTATCGTTCGACAGAACGACAACGAAAGGGGAGTGATTTAGGGCCGATGAAGGTCAACACTAAGAGAAAGAAGGGAGCTAGTAGGGAGTTGACAAAGGGAGACTGAAGGAAAGGGGGAGAGAGGATCTCACTTTCATTGAAACTACAGGCAGAGTACGAGAGGTGGGGGGTGTCGTCCCATGCACCTGCCCAGGTTCCAGCGGCTGATTCATTCTCAGTCTGTATACTTGGTGAACAATAGAGGAGGGTCAGTAGCACGCGTTTAACTGTTCATCCTGCCTCTGCCATGATGAAGGTCATTGCTTCGAGATAAGTGGCGTTCTTCAGTTGCATCATGACCAAGGAATCGTCATGGTGAGCTCACGACATCACAATACTGCTCGGCATTACCCAGGGAGTCAGCTCCTTCCCGCTCTTCCTTGCGGTTCTGTGGTTCTTCGCTATCGCCTTCGAAGTTGGAGCAACCGTGGTGACCTCCAAGCATCCTGCTCATTTTGACTGTCATGAACGTCGTAATCAGGTTGGCGGTTAGTCACGACCTTCGTGGCTAAGGATCGTGTTCTGCAGGGAGCTGCATTTAGTTGTGTCCTGACGAAAGATCCATTTCGAATTTGCTCATCCTACCGACGGGAGTAGCGTGAGGAGGGTCGTGGAGTTGGAGATTTACCTGTTGGTCGGTGCGTGATTTAGCCAACGGAGGAAGTAGCCTCTCTCTGTCTACTTGCGCGCATGACTGGAAAGCAATGTAATTTTCTCCATGTTCTAGTGAAAGATGCATGACCATGACATGTTCTGAGTGTGGTGGATCCAAGCGAGCGAGCGGAGGCGCCTTCTTCTCTATGCTCCTGCGCGGTGGTGTTGATCATCAAGACTTGCTCTCCTTCACGACCGTTTTTGTGTTTCGAGTTCGCCGCCACGTTGATCGCGATCGTTGTCGGAGATGATATCCGCTATGGTACTCACCACCGCCACGTTGATCGCGATCGTTGTCGGTGTTGATCATCGAGACTTGCTCTCCTTCACGACCGTTTTTGTGTTTCGAGTTCGGCGCCTTCTTCTCTATGCATCTTCCGATTTTTCCTCATTCTATCGGTGAAGGGTGTGAGAGTCCAACGGTGAAGATTGGAGACTTACCAGTTGCTTGTTTAGGCGGGGCTAGACTACTCCTAAGTTGAGTACCCTAGTTCTACGCTATACGTCATTGTATGGGCTGACTAACCACACCATAAGTTGGTGTGTTCTAGCTATATGCCTTTCGTCGTTTGTTCAGGCAAAGGTTGGACCCCTCATAAGTTGAGGTGGTTCAGTTTTTTGTGTATGCCAAATGTTTAGGCTGGCCAGCCCCACCATAAGTTGGTGCGGCCCGGTCATACGCCTTATGTCGATTGTCTAGGTAGAAACTGACCACACCACAAGTTGGTGTGGATCAGTCCTATGCCTTATGTTTACTTGTTTTGGCAGGTTAGTCACACCATAAGTTGGTGTGACCAAGTCGTGAGCCGTGAACATAAGTGGAACCTAAGTATACAATCTGATACAACTATATACTATGTATATCATTGGCAGGTTGGACGCCATGAGTTGGAAGATCTAGCCATATAAGCCGGTAGCAGATAAAGCAGAGGAGAAATAAGATTCAGAGTATAAAATTGAGTGGTAACATTGGGTAGGTTGATACATCCATAAGTTGGGTAGTGGGTCCTATGCCCCTGATAATATAAAAGGCAGAGAGATAATATAAAGCTTGATTATTTTTCTTTCTAAACATAAGCTGATGTTTGGATGGGGATCCTCATAAGTTGAGGTGACCTGACCACTCGTATGAAGACAGAAAGAACTTGTGGTCTTACTTATTGAATATAGTTGTGTTGCGGAGTAAGAACTTGTGATCTTACTCGATTGAATGTATAAAGAAACTGACCACACGCACCTGTTTCTTGTTTAAGTGGGGCTAGACTACTCATAAGTTGGGTAGCCTGATTCTACGCCATATGTCACTATTTGGGCTGGCTAGGCACATCATAAGTTGGTGTGTCCTGGTCATATGCCTTTTGTCATTGTTCAGGCCAAGGCTGGCCCCTCATTGAGGAGGTTCAACTCTTTGTGTATGCCGAATGTTCAGGCTGACCAGCCTCACCATTAGTTGGTGCGGCCCGGTCATACGCCTTATGTCGATCGTCTAGGCAGAAACTGGTCACACCATAAGTTGATGTGGTTTGGCCCTATGCCTTACGTATACTTGTTTTACTTAGTTAGGGCACCATAAGCTGGTGTGACCTAGTCATATAAACTGGGAGGTCAGTTACATCCATAAGTTGGGTTGGATGATCCTATGTCTTATGTAAGGAAGGGTAAAAAGGGAATAACGGGGGTTTTTGAACGAACTATGTGACCTGGAAAGGAACCTGAGGGTTGGCGAGAGATGTTGTTGCACTCACCTATGTATGTTTTGAGGTTTATCTTTGGGGTATTCTTTTTGATAACTTAGTCGCTTTAGATGCTCGCTGAGTGATGGAGCTATAGGTAGGTGAGGTGGATGATGGGAGGGAAGTTGGGATATGATAGAACCGACCTTACTGGAAGTTAGGACTAGTGATAGCTCATGATACCATCTTCAAAGGGGGATCGTGTAAACTATCTTCAGTTCTGACTATCAAGTGAGTGTCAAAAATTAATCCCAAGTATAGTTGTACTTTGTCTTTGCATTTTCAGCTTTGTATAAATCTTTGCAGTCTTCTTTCCTATGGGAAACACTGCCGAAATTTTTACAAATATGAAAAAGTTAGTCATTTTTTTACACTTGAAAATTTTGAAAAAGGCACTTTTCCTACGGGAAGCGTTGCCGATATTTTGTAGAATTTGAGGAGTTAGATTATTTTCTGCTAGGAAGAATTTGACAAACTACCCTAACTAAGGGAGATGCTGCCAAGATTTTCAATAATGTCTGAAACCCATTGGAAGAAGGTAAGGGAGAAGTTAGTAGAGGAGTTAGGCTACGACATGGAGCATGTCCTCTATTTGTCTTAAACATATTATTGGTCCGCCTTCGCCTGAACTGTGATGCAGGTATACGAATTCGATTGAAGGCTTGATTTGTTCGGCCTGACCCTACGAAGGATCACGTTCCTGTTATCTTTTGATAACAGGTCGGTTTACGACACAACTTCCGTGCTTCTGCATCTCAACCTAAGGCCTTGGCTCTTGTAGGTTTTTATGTTTTTGGGGTTTTCACCCAGATTTCTTTTTAAGTGGCCATTTCTAAAGACCGAGTACCTTTATTGAGGGATGGTGGAATTTGGTTGGGGCTTGTATGCATAAGGCAGGGTGTGAGTTGCAGAAAGCAGTAAAGTTGACTCCCTTAGTGTGTGTGATGTTGTTGTTTGAACTTTGTGCAATTGCAAGTATGCTTATAAGATCTTTGAATTGAGTTTGGTGATAGTCTGAGTATTGTGTGAATACGGATGGACAAGCCACACAACCATTGTGAGAGTGATCGCCTGATACCACACAAACTTCTGCTTGACTATTTGAACTACCCTTGCTTAGCATAACTATAATGGCTTAAGGGAACCCTGCAGTGGTTGTGAAAAGTGATAGCCTCATATTTCACAACTCCTCATATATATATATATCGTCACATTCCCACTAACATATACATTTCGTATCTGTACGGTCTCCTGTGACCGCGTGTGAGAGTTAAACAAGCTATGTCTTGAGAGAAAGGGAGATCCCCTTCACCCTTTTGCTTTCTAGAGTTATTATGGTTGGCGTTGTAGTTCGTGGCAGCCGTCAAAGTCAAACCCCTTGATTTCCATCCAGTCCCTGAATGATGGAGCTTGCCTCCTAGGCCAGGAGAGTTGACTGCCACCACAGGCCGGAACCTGTGTACCACCCACTCTCCGCAAGGTGCAGAAGAGGGTGTGGTGATCAACAACCTTGACGGTTGTCTAGCATCGAGAGATTAACCCCTAAAGGCGGGTGTCAGCCGACACCTGAGTGTCGAAACGTGACCCCCGAAACTATCGAGGGTCGCTTGATTATGGGTACTCCATAGTACTCCATCGTTGCGACTGTGTGTGTATGTTTGCATTGCTAGTCAGTATATGAGAGCCCTTGCGCTCGCGCGGTTTTATGATGAGTCTCGCTCGCAATGCCCGACCAATTGTCGTGTTAAAAGGTTATGGGTTGGACACTGAAGGGACTAGGAAAGTTTTGTTTTTCGTGTGTGTATTTTAATTTTTGTGTGGTGTAACGCGTGGTGAGTGGAATGCGTCCTAGTCGGCCGACGACGAGTCGTGCTTGGGACCTCAGCCCCTCAATGCGTCGATTCGCGTGCAGGTCCGATTGAGGGGCGTTGACCGCGCGTACCCCCTATGCTACAGCGAACGAGAAACGCCCTCGGCTGGGCCACCTCGGCGATTGCATACGAAAAGCTTTCGCACGTGGTTCGGTAGCTCGGCGGGGATACGCCCACCCAAGGGATGGTGACAACTCCCGCAGGTGGAGATAAGTTGTGCCTCGCGTGGCCCTATCCCCTTGCAGGGGCTCGCAGAGAGAGGTACGACTGGCGCACTCGGGCGGAGCGGCAAATCACGCTCTACGACGAAGTCCTGCAAAATCCTATGTGACGCGGCTGGGAGGGTCCCCCTGTGGGACCGATGCGCTCGACAACGAGGTCTGGACCTGCTGCACATCTGGATAGGTTGTTGACCACACTCAAAGAAGAAGAAGAAGAAGAAGAAAAGAAGAAGAAGAAGAAGAAAAGGAAGATACAATTAGAGGGGCAAGAACGGACTGACACGCAACACTAGAAGCAGGGTAAACAGGCGGAAGGACACTTTGGGTTGGCTGAATATTAGCAAAACGTTGCAACTGGTCACGATGCTGCTAGGCTATCAGGGCCATATCCTCGCGCAACTTCTTGAGTTCACCAACCACTTTGCCAAGTTGGCCTGTATGGTCTTCAACAGCCCGAACCTCAACTAAAGCCCTGAGGATTGGGATAGTCTTTTATTCCACCTCCGCATCAGTTAAGGTGGGCACGGTACTGAAGACGGCTTCATGAGCCTTTATTTTGTCTCCCCTCTCTTTCTCCCTCTCCTCCTCTTCCCGCTTCAATGCTTTTTCATAAAAGAATTGGTACTGCGCTTTTTCTGCCTCAGGGGTAGCGTCCATTTGCAGCTTCCATTCTGCTACAGATGCCATGATGGAGGACGAGGGTGTCAGTAAGTATCTTAAGAGAGGATCGTACTTCCTCACACTTCGGGGACGAACACTCCTCTTCCCTCTCCTCACCCCCTCAAGAGCAACACTGAGAAGCTTCTCTCTTCTCTCTTTCTCGCTCGTTTGCGATTGTGTAAACGCAAACATTTAACAAACCCAATGAAAGAAACAGCTTGAAAGCAATCAGAAGAGAAGGTAGAACTCCTAGCCGGAGCGACAATTCATTTGGACTGGAGAGCAGTCACAACCAAAAAATAAAGATCAGAGATATCTTATTCCGCCACACAGTCTGGTCCGACTACGTATGAGGTCCTCTCAAGCCTAGCCGGACTCAACTCCGTGAAGACGTAGCAAATCAAATTCAAAGTGTACTACGTAATGCAAGAGAGAATTGAGTGGTGTCCAAGGTGCGAGTCAGGTGGCGGATCGTGCGGTAAAGTCTGTTAAAGCGTCTCAGCTGAGATCCCCTCAGCAGCAAGTGTCCTGGTCCGAAAGCATGAACTCCGAGTCCCAATCAAATAGAGCAAGGTAACTGACGTTAACAGATTTGGGCCTGAGGGGCCCTTCTTGTTTGGGCCCGGTCCCACTGAGTCCCAAATGGTCCCAGTGGAGTCAGAACCGGGTCCCAACTGAATTGAAAAACGAAATTTAGCCCCAGAAAGAACCTAAAGACTACAACTGTTCAAAATGAAATAAACAAAGCACTGTAGAAAGATATAGCATGGCACGCAAGATACTCCATGCATTCACTCGTCAGGTGAGTAAGTAGTTCACACACCTCAAACAAGATCAAGACTATGGAGGATGGAAGAAGAACCCAGAATACCCCAACAGGCAGTGAATTCCATGAACACACACATCGGCACCCTGGCGGCACGACACTTACCTGAGTGGTCGGGCTCTTGAGATGAAAAGAAACTCACCCCCCTCTCACATAGTCCTCATGGCCCAATAGCATCCTCTACACTAGTGTCCTATCATCTAGGAGGGTCAACATCTACCCCAAAGTACAACGTCGGATCCCCCGTCGATGTTGAAGATCAAAGTAGCAGCTTGCAGTCCGTAGGTGCAGATATGGCTACCACCCTCAAGCTCGCCTAACTTGAGGGGAACCCTAAAGTCACTCCTCCTCTTCCTTGAAGTCCAGATTCAAGTTGTAGGTGCCCTTCATTGTTGCCTCTCTCAAATTGCATCACGAAGTCCCACCTTGTGTCTCGCCACCACAAACATGCACTCAAGCTACCTGGCCGGGTCGAATGTCGACCCTACACGGCCCTGCCAGATGGGAGCAACTTCCCTTCGCCATGCTGCCCCACTTAACCCTAACTTCCAGCCCTAACCCTAAGAGGTTAGCCCTTACCACTTAGGTTAGGGTTATGGCGGCAAGGTCAACTCTCGCCAGCAAGTAGAATCTACGTTGATACCAATGTTACGATCCTGGCCAATTTCGAAGTATACATTCATCAGAAAGTACAATGTCGTCCAATTACAAAAAGAAATGAATGAACTTGAGAGGAGAAAGAGGGAAAGACGAAGAAGAAGAAGTAAGAAAGAAGAAGAAGATGATGTACTCCAGCATAGACCAAAGATAAGACCCTTCTTCTTCGCCAACCAATCTCCTCCTCCTTATCTCCTCCCCTCTTATTCAAACAAGAATGGTTGAACCAGAATCAATGTCCGAATCCCTCTTCTATTGCAGGCACAACATGAGGTCCACCATAGCCATGGCCACCCTTCTCCTTCCTCTCACATGTAGGCCGAGGCTATGGCGGACTACTGAGGGCTCAACNCAGGCACAACATGAGGTCCACCATAGCCATGGCCACCCTTCTCCTTCCTCTCACATGTAGGCCGAGGCTATGGCGGACTACTGAGGGCTCAACCCCCCTGTCCAAAGGACAACCCAAAGCAGCTATATCGCTGCCTTCCTGTGCAAAGGACAACACAAAGCAGCTATGTCATTGCTCATTAGTCCGTCATGCCTGTCTCTGCCCCGAGCTTCCTTGGTGCGGCACTACCCCAACTGGGCCTTCCAGATGCAGCGCCTAACAAGGTGATGAAGATGGTGTCCACCATAGCCAGGTAGGTACCTCGCCACTTTGAGAAAAATTGATTACACAAAGAGGCAATTATTCATGAAGAAGATAACATGAGCTTTACTATCATGGCGTCGTCATCTCCTTCTCATCATACCTTGGCGTCCACCGCCAGGATAACTCAACCCTTCCACTCATCACGCCACTCAGATTGAGGACACACTGTTCCCTACTCATCATAATATACTACTCAAGTACCTACTAACTGCGCGCTCTAGAGGCGCGAACCTGTTCGGGAGCTTCCCGCCACTCAAGAGTATGGATTAAAAAATAATAATAAAAAAATAAAAATACTATGGTCCGCCCCTGTATATTTCTTAGGAGAAGGGCTACATACAGGTGCAACCGGCGCAACCAGCCAGGGAGCTTCCCGCAATTCTAAATTCTAGAAAATCTTAAAGGATTGGAAATATGAAAAGATATATTCTGGTCCATATCTGTATGTTTCCTAAAAGGGGACTACATACAGGTGCGGACCTATTTATCGCCTGTTTAGAGCTGAAGAAAAGTTCGGGCATCCCTTGGGCCAATAAGGCGAGCAAATTCATTTAGCGAAAACAAGAAGCCTGCCGAAACATTGGGCTTTCCCTCCAAACCCGAAGGGAATAGCAGAGTACCGAGTAACCACGTTACAACCAGTCGGCGAAAACGCCTTTATATGAGGACAAAGTCGAATCCAACAGGGATATCCCTGGGTACACAAACAACAGCTTTGCAGCTCAGCGGCGAGTATACAGTAGCTCAATCAGCCCCTGCAGCTTTTTCCATAGTGGTTTCCGATCCCGCCTGTTCATCATCCATTTCAGGCCAGTAGTGACAGTTGTGGCCGGGTATCCCGACTTCTTCAGTTCCTCTGCAAGAGAGAGGATAGAACTGCAAATCGAGCCCTCGTTGTTACAGTTCATGGAAATGCGTAAGACAGCGTTGGCAACAGTAGCAAATTTGGCCGCTTTTGGACCAAAGGAATCGAAATCTTTGTATGTCCACAGTCGTAAATCGCCCGGGGACCAGATAGTCCATGCGTTTTTGAACTTATGTGAGAGCACAATTGCAGGCGACGCGTTAGTTACCACAATACGTGTCTCCAGAAAGTCGAGAATCCCATTCCCGGCGTCAGTACGTTCCAATTTCAGCCCTTGGGGGTAGCAGTCCAGGATTAGATCCAGTTTTGCCTCAATCCTATCCAAGCTATTGCAGTCGTTCGCATCCCAGAGCGCACGGAGCAATAAGTCATCAATGTAACGTTTACCTCTTATAAATCTGGCGTCATCCCCCAAGCTCTGAATGAACTTGTACTCGGCGCACATACACATGACACAAGCAAGTGGTGGGCTCGCACGGCCCCCCATAGGAATCCCGTTTTTTTGGCGTAATACACAGTCTGCAACGAGAAAGAAAGTGTTATCAAGCTGGAAGCTCGTCAATTTGCCAAGCAGGTTTAGCCTGATTGATTTCCAACCTGCCTCCCCATGTGATTTCCCAAAGGTTACGAGTTTCTTCCGTAGATTAAATCTCAGCCATTTTACCTTCTTCTCCAAAAAGAGGCCTATAATCCATTCTACGGCACACCGGATATCGGCGTGAGGCAACTGTGTGAACATTTCTTTGATGTCGTAGGTGCGGGAAATGACTTTGAGGTTCACGTTCTTCCGGCATGTCTCATTTACTGAGCCAATTTCTATTTTAACGCCACATAGTGACCTTAGATTAAAATGGGGAACGTGAACTCTTTGCACCAGTTCGTTCAGTCCCAGGGAAAGCACACCGGCAGCGGTTCGAAAAGGGCTCAGAAAAGAGGGGACAATAGGTCTCCTTTTTTCTTTGTCTTTTTCTTTTGCCATGATATAGGCATGCTGAAGCACGCCCCGCGGGTCCCATTTTGCTGCATCTGAGAGACTGGACTCCTGGTATTTTTYCCGCATGCAGTGAAGCACATTGCTTTTCTCGGATTCTACAACCTCATAGTTCACATTCTGCAAGAACATTGTTTTCAGTCCTTCCCCATACCGCCAAGGACATTCAATCCAGGTTTCGCTTGGGTTTCGATCCAGAGGAGACATGACCAGGCCTGAAAGGGCCAGTTTTACGCCTATAACATATTCGGCTAGCACGCACCCAGGTGGTTTCGCAGGACCAGGTTTACAGACAGTAGCACAATCGATCCTGAATGGGCGGATAACAATGCCCATCTTGCAAAGGCAACTCAAGGCTTCGTTACATGCTTTGTTCAAACCATCTTTCACGACAATCTTCCCAGGAAAAGGAATGTTCTTTGAATTGGAGAAAAAAGGGTTAATGCCATCAATTTCGCTTAGCTTGACTGCGACATGCCCGTCTCTACGGGGCAGGTCAAGGTCCGCACAAGTGCACTCAAGATTGCTTCTTTGTGCAAAAGACCTTTGGTTATGCAGGAAGTCCCCGACCGATTTAGCTTTAAGCCACACGGCCTTGGTCCTCTTAGCATACAGGTCAGCAAGCGACACAGGTAACACTTCACTTTTTATCCAATTCTTTAGCTGCGCCAGCACACATGCTTTGTCAATGGTCGTACAATACGGAGTTTTTACAGTTATGTTAACACGAGGATTAATGCCAAATTTCTTTTTGAACACATTTGTGAGTCTACCGTGAATAATCTGTCGACCTCGATCTTGGTTAATAAGTTTCACCGCATTGCTGAGCTCAATGAGTTAATTTAAATCGCATTTATACAGATCCCGCCTTTTCCACGGGGCACGAAGCAAGGCAATCAGCTCACTTTTCTTAAGTTCGAATTTGGTACGTGTGCGGAACAATTCGACGATCAGCCAATCCCCCCCTTGTTCAATGTGATCTTTAGCATCTTTTAGTAGCAAATTGTCGCCATTTATCTTTATTTTCGAAAAAACAAACAGC